CCCCCCAGCCTCTTGCGGAGCGCACGGTGGACATCGTCCGACTACCTCAGGCTTGTGTGTGGATGTATGCTTCCCGTGTATGCCCCAAGAACGGGCCATGTGGTAGATACACTGTACCAACACGGGGGCTAGACCACGGTACGGTAGGCGTTACTCGGGTTGCGCTCCCATACCAAATGCTGGAAATTGGGGAGGGGGTTAGTGGCACGCCTAGGTGCAGGCTCACGCTGCACCAGTCACCCACTTCGTGAGATCTGAGTCAGGCGTGCCAGCTACGACCGCGCCTGCACCCTATGCCCGATCCCATTTCCGGTCTTTTCAACTCTGCCTTGACACCGAGCGCAGGCGGGCGAGGGAAGGAGAAGGAGGGAGATTGCGTTAGCTGCAATACAAGTCTACTAACAGTTGAAACCAATCCACGCGCAAGTCATCTTCCCTGCGCCCACCCCTCCCCCTCCTCTTGTGGAGCACACAGTTCGACAAATGTCGTCAAACTGTTACCTCCAGTAAAAATAAATCAAAGTGTGGAAGGGGAGTTAAGAGGTGCAGCAGGGCACGTACATTTGCGTGTCGTCCATAATATCGATCGCTCCGAGACAGAAGATTATCAGTCCAAATATGCCAATGGGGATGAGCCAGGAAGTGTATAGGCCAAGCCAGGCAAAGTAAAGCCCCACAGATTCGCCGAAGTAGAGCCTGAAAAAAAGTGAAGGGGGGGGGATGGGGCAAGAACAGACATATGAGTGAAGCCGTCAATAAAGGAGACAATGCAAGCATTGAATTTGTAAGCCCATCGAAAAAAATAAAGTACAGTGCCTCCTGCAACACGGGGAGGAGTTTAATTTTAGTTTAACGCGACAACTAAGGCAATATGTGGATGGCGTTCGGAAAACTTGTATTTGTTTTATTAGGTCAACGAGGTGCCGCGCAATTTGAAACGTATGAATTAGGGTATATAAACGAGCGGAATGACGTAATCTGAGATTATTGATTCAAAAAGGCGGATTTGGGTTAGATAATATGTGGTGGACAGACCTGGCTCTAATCTTTTCCCTAAAAGTAATCCTAAATATAACCCCAACTGTAAACCCGACCCTAAGCCTGACCGTACATCCCTAACCGCGAAATCTGAACACCAACATTAAATCCTAAGCCTAAACGCCTTACCACGGATAACCCCTAGCGTTGCATACGTACATAAATCCAACAAAAGGTATGATATAGTAATAAAAACCTGGGTTTACATATGTAGTAGAGTCCGCTTATCAGTTGCGACGGGGGAGGATACTTTGAAGACCAATAAAGTGGTCAGTGTAAGTATTCGGAGTAAAGAAGGAGAATTATCGAGTAAGTGCACTCTCAACCCCCCTCTCTCTCTCGTTTTCGGATGTCACCTGACGTCCTGTGAGAAATGTCCATTTCGTTCACGATATTTTTCTCCTACTTTTGCGTCCTTGTCTGGTGCATCTGGTGAATTGTCTCTTCCGAGCGAATGCGTGGCGAACCAATAGAAAAGCGGAAAATTATCGATAAACGTCATTCTTCCCTGACAGGCGCTTGCATCCACCTCGCTGGCGATCTACCTAACGTCTCACTGCTTGCATCGGCAAACTGTCGTCGACTTTCTCCAGTAGTCTCGTGCACTGATTGGTCGAGGAGATGTCTACGCAAACCATCGGACGGAAATTCCTGTAGAGTGCACTTAGCGGCAAAAACGCCTGCAATGCTTTCAGTCTTGTCTTCTCGAATTCCAGCATGGAAGAAATTAATTGGGGGCGCTTAAATCGCGCGACACACTTGATTTGCTTCAGCCTTTCGGGATTGGCACGAATATGCGGTGGATTCAATCAGTTTTGGTTCCATTATCTAGATTTTCGATTGCATCCTCAGGCTGAAGAAGCTCGCTACTTGCATTTTCTGTTCTCTTAGAACTTTTAAAGACAACTTTTTATGTAAAGATTCGTGCGATTGTTTGTGTTTACACTTATTCCGTTTTTTTTCTATTCGTGTTTTCTTATTTGTCCAGGAAATATGAAATCTCCTGAGTATGCGTTTTCAGAAAGTGGTTTGAAAAGGTAGTTTAAGTCTATAAAATAACTTTAACTGTCTCTGAATATAATTGTTGTTCGACGCAAGTTTTCGAAGACGATATATTCCAAATTAATGATTAAGATCCGAGCAGAGTAAGAAGCAACAATTTCTGGGGGACACACGGATGAGCCGAACACCCCGTATTGGTGAAACACGCGGTCTGGACTTTAAACTAGTACTTGTACCACCAGTATGGTATAGCATGTAACCTATATCGCAAACTGAAATCTTCAACATCCGATAAGCTTTTTCGTTTTACGAGGACATAAAAATAGGCATTTTGGTTAAATTTCTTTTCAGATAACAATTAGGTGTCTTGGGCTGTTTCCAGTCCATCCATTCTGGTGATAACAAAGTTTTAATCCAAACATTGCAACTCCAATTTAGACGTAGATATGCGAAGAGCCATAGCTTCGGATTTCTGTAGTGTAACCTCGATAAAAGAGATAGAGACGATTGAACTCATGAAGGCCCACTTAGCGTCAACATGAAAAACCAGTCACCACATGCTAGCGTGAATATCAATTGGTGATAATTGGTACCAGATCACCTGCACAGGGTAGCCTGAAGACTGAGTATACTGTTGGAGCAGTTTTACCCCAGTATGCATTTAAAACAAGCAACTTATGGAGGATTTATTGGAACCAACATATTGTGCGACTGCCCATCAGCTCCGCTGGGAGCATAAAGCAAAGCTGAATTCGGACAGAAAAAAGCAATGCAAAACATCAATGTCATGTCTTAGTGTCGTACAGACTAATAATTATAATGAGTAACCTAAAACACCCCGTTTAAGGCATGAATGGGAGAGAACCATTTTTAAAGCAAAAGCGAAGGGAGAAATGTGTAAAGAACTAGCAGTTACCACGGCAAATGCAGGTTGATCACGCGCTCAAATTGTTCACATAGCTCCCGTTTCAACTGCTATATACAAAGTATTTATATGCACTTTTGCACAACAAAAACGATCTGTAACAATTTTTGCATTTTACCCTACACTTTACGCATTCCTGTACCGTTTCAATGGAGTTTTTAAGGGCCCGATTATTTACTCCAAATATACTGATTGTAACCAAGTACGAGTTGTTCGTGTACGAACAAGTATTCGGAAGGGCATTTGTAGTCCTACTAAGCTTCTACCAATTCCAAGAGCAAAGGGTACCTTGACAGTACACGTCACTTCCAATTGGGTGTGGATGCAAGTACACTGGACGAACGCAACGGCAGTTGGCAACAAGGCCTACTAGGCATCTGCCCAAGTGGCTTCTAAAGCAGGAAAACAAAGTCCCACGTTCTTCCATTACGAAACACCTGCTGGTCCCTCTTGACCCAAAACATCCCTTCGAGTACTTGTTCGGACGCGAACAACTCCTACATTGCGCTACTGGGATGCGGTCTGTATAGGGCAGGTGAAACCGGAACTATATAAACAGTTGGAGCTGGTAAACAAATTACACTTACCGTAGCAACCTCTAGCTCCTAGGTTTACACGTTTCCTTCTTCCTTTTTGCTTTAAAAGAAATTCCTCTTCCCACGTATGCCTTCCACATGGTGTTTTAAGTCACTAATAATATATTGATTAGCCTATACGGCACTGAAGCATGACCTTGTTGTATTGATTTTCATTTCTGTAGGAATTCAAATTTGGTATATTAATTCATCTGTTAACGACGTTATGCAGCTGATGAACAGTCGTGCAATTTGTTGGATCCAACAAATTACGAGTACCTTTTTTACCTAGGATAAAACACGCACTATCGGCGTCTGTCCGCCGAAGAAAGGGCGAGAACTTATCGAAATAATAGGCTCCAGTCAGCACATTAATTTTAACGCCGCGGAGCAAAATCTTGAAATTAACCTTGAGACTCAAGGCCAGGCGGAAGCCCACAAGCGCACTTCAGAGCAAGTAACAAGCGCTCATGAAATTGCAAGAACGCTTGAAAAGCCACTTGTTTGGCATCTGTTTCATGCCAAACTGACGATGAATCATGAAACGCGATTCGCAGATGGCACAGGGGGCGAGGTGCTGGCCTGGAAAGTTACACTTAAGTTCTGAATTTTCGGGTAGTATAACCTAAAAGACAACCCTTCGTCGGAGACCAAACGATTCTGTGCACAGGTCTCCTTTTATGGCGCTTTAATTGTGTACGTTATTTAGCGCCACTTTCGGCTGTGATTGCGGAAAAAACCCATGATTCGTCAAATGTCGCACTTCTTAACAAGTAGACTTACAGAGTTGTGATTGGTTTTGCGGCGACTGACTGTGTCATACGTTGACATCCAACCTTAAACTGACGTGTGAGCTTCACCTCGGCACATATTCGTGGCAGTGTAACGGTTTCGTACACTTTAACACTTAATCTGCAAATGACCAACTTATAACCGCGTTCGCGGTTATCGATCGTTTCTATCGACACATTGCCCCTCTCTCCGCACCAGCACTGAGATCGTTGGATAACGAATGACTTGTCCTCGTCGTACATGGGATCTGTTGATCACATTCTCTTGGTCGATGGTTGAGGCAGGCTGGTCGGCGGCCGACTAGTGGTAAGCCACGGCGTTAAAATCATTCTACAAATACGGCTGCCTCATTCGGGTAGACACTTCGCAGCTGATAATCGTGGACACGCACTAGCCTTGAAAAGCCATCTAGGCTGACGACTGATTTAATGAAATAAGTTGCATTCGCGGGCATAGCGTGAACATACGTCTTAATTCGTGTTACACAGACTGGCTATCATTGTAATCTAATATTTGCAGCGTGGTAATCGGTACCCCCTACATTATTGGTCTCAGTTGACCGCAAATGTATCGGTTGGGGAGTATAAGGGAACATCCAATTGTATTCAACGTCCCGGACCCTCACTCGAGTCAATCGCTGAAAACAAGTAGCTTTTGAACTGGGCACTCGTATGCTTTCTTCCTCCTTCATACAACATCCTAGGAATTGCACATTAGCCATTGTTAGAGTTACGCGTAGTTACGTGGAAGGGGTATTCGTCCATCTGGATAGAGTATGGAACGTGGTGGATCCATTTTACTCCGGTCACAAATCAAAATCTCTGCAGACAGTCGCGTAGCAACAAGTTAACGTGATGTAGAATGAATAAAGTGAAAGACCGCAGAGACTAGCGTGCATCATTCTCGTTTATCAGCCGGCATCGGACGACCCACCATGCTACAACCCCCACGTCAGAGTAACTTTGGGTTGTAAGCCGTACCCCCAGTTCAACGTTCCACTGTCAAGCCGAGGGACCGTAAGTCTATCGAGTGCCATTGCAGAAGATAAATTTAATAGGAAAGGGGTTCGCGGGCAAATTGCAGGAAAGAGTATGCACATTCGGATTGGCACTGTGACTTCAATTCCAAGAAACAAAATCAGACGGTGTCATGGGTTGCCAAACCTAGGGTTTGGTATGTCCCCCACAATAAGTAGTATTCCCGATCATGAACGGCACAGCAATTAGTCTGCGGCTCAATATTGGGAATGTAGACTCAATGACCAAAGGTTTCGGGTTCGAATCCCAGATGCAGCACACTTGGTGATGACAGTTCATAAGCTGGAAAGAGTCATTATATCTCCCTTGTCCATCATCAAGATATGTTATTAGTCACTATGCGACTGCACGATAGAACTCTACATTGAGCCTTTAAACCTAACGAGATGAGAATGTCCCGTTAAGTGTATGGCATGGAGTTAAATGGCTGGAACATGACTGTTTAAGGTCAGAGCCAAAATGTCACTGAAAATCTGGGCCGAAGACAATCAACCACTGTGACATAAACATGTAATGCTCACTATACAAACATGTAGTACAGTGGATCCTCGTTTAACGAGTTTAATCCGTCCCGGCACCGACCTCTTCAGATGAAAAGCTCGTCTTGAGGAACGTAGCCAAGCAAGCTGCATCAGTTCATTGATTGGCTGCAAGCGACCGCAAAACTCAACGGTGAACATAGGCGCACACACGTACTGACCACTGGTTAACTGAACGGAACGTCGTCAATAGAAACAACTTTTCTGCTGGTGGCTCGTCCATTACCTGGAATACCCGTAGATGGGGCTGCTCGTCCCTCCAGGCTCCACTAGAGTACTACAAATAAAAAATTCCATACGGCAAACACGTCAAACCGCATTCCCGGAAAAGGTACCAGTCACAACCACAAGTCCCCCCCTCTCTCCAACGGATAAACTGTGGTACGGAAATCCTACTCCCTGCCTTATATGAAGGGAAGCTCTGAAGTCATCACCCGGCAATTAATTCGCCTTGGAATGCATACTGCCCGCAGGACGACACCCTCGCTACGCGCAACGCTATTTCGAGTAACTGATCCCAGCCCCCCACCAGCAACAAACAAATGTAATTTATGGTCTCCTATGTGCAAATCGCTCTTGTGTGTATGTTGGTCATAGGAGTCGACGCCTGAGCATCCATATTAATGGACACGAACTAACTGCCCGTCACCTAGATACCCTGTCCCTAGGTCTTTGCGCACGCAGCCTAATGCGACCACTGATCCGATCAGGATAATACTGAGATCATTGCCACGACCAGAGCAAAGAGAGCGAGAGAATTTCTCGAGACTTGACAGCCCAGCGCGAGTAGTCCCAACCGCCCAGTCGACCTGGTCCAAGAGAATTCAGCCGCCCGGAGTCTAGCTGAACCGCGCCCCGCCCACCATCACAGGAAGCCCTAATTGTTTCGCCTGCTTCCCTCCCCCCGCCCCCACTCACTCACAAATCCCTCATGACTCACTTTCACACGCCACTGGCCTGTCCTGTCGCGCTAGCCGGTCTAACGTAACAGACAAACTCAGACCTAAATATGCTTTCATCTGGAATAATTTTCCACTCGAAAATAGGTTGTCGTCTACATTACTGATTCCCAAAGGCAAAATACGCAAATATTAAAATTTGGAGGAAGTCTTTACGGTCTGTTTCCTTCCCAAACACGCAACTTCTGGACTTTTAAAAGGGTTCTTCTGGCACTTTAGGCTCTTTCCAAGATGGTAAAGTGGTCTCTAAATACGTTTACATTTTCTTCAGCAGAGTCAACCATCACTTCCAAATGATGCCAACTCTTCTCCGTTTTGCAACCCTGGCGGTGGTCTCTGTTGATGATCGTCGCGGGTTCTTAATTTTTCGCCAACTTGTCAGTGGATTCTACAGTCTGTCTGGTCGCATATCCGGCACCTCGGTGATATTCTCGTGGCTTCTACTGTCCCCTCCTCGTTTCGACCCCATTGTGCCCGATGAGTTCCTCTTGTCTCAGCCCCATGGTGCTATATGATTTCTTCCACGACAAGGAGCGTTCCGAACCCTTAACATCATGGTCCCATCTCACTGCATCATATACTACCATATCAATCTAACGACCTATTTAAGCAGTTTCTTTAATTTGATTCGGCATGTATAACAAACTATCATCCCTGTTGTTATACGGTGCTTACGTGGAGCTGTGATTACCAACTTCGTATTAATTTTTACCCCAGCACTAAGTTTGTAACGAAAGTATCCCTTGGGCCTTAAATATACAATTTATTTATTGA